GGAGTGGGGGTCCATCCTATGGGTGTTGGGGCTGGGGATGGATTGGGGATGGGGGTTCAGTTCCTTCTCATGGTGTCCTGGAGCCATCGGGTGTATTTGCAGAGGTTGACGTAGACACCGGGTTTCTTGGGGTCCCCGCAGATGCCTGGACCCCAAGAGACGATGACATGCCACCGACCGTCCACCATGAGGGGAAACCCGAGTCACCCTGATGAAACAAGAGCAGGGGACACGTGGGGGGTCTGGGACTCGTGGCCCACCCCAAAGAATCACCTTAAATTCGGGGCCGTTTCAGGGCTGGCCTGGCACCTCCATCCATAAAATCCCACCAAGGTTGTCCTCTCCCTCCCCCACGAGTGGATTTCATCCACCAGTTTCTGAAATTCCGGACCCAGCACCCACCTGGCAGGAGTCAGCCCGACTGCGAAACTCGCCCGCGCACACCATGTTGGTGGTGATGGAGTCGGAGTAGATCCGCCGACACTCCTCCTCCGAGACTATGGTGACCTTGGTGCAGTGGAGATCCTCAGGGAAGGTGACTGTGGATGATGGGAGGACATGAGGTCATCCACGGGTGGGGGGAAACAACGGATCAAGTGATCCGGACCCAATTTGCACCCCTTGTCTTCTTTCCCCCTTGGAGCTCATCTCCCCTCCCAACCAGGAGCTCCAAAGGTTCCTGGTGTCTTGACCAAGACCCTCAAGAGGTCAAGGTTGGCTTCAGTGGGACCACCGGGATTGGGTGGGGGGCGCTTTGGGAGAGCCTGGACATCTGGATCCTTGGGAAGGGGGACACATTTTGGGGGGTTATCAGTGCCCACCAAATATTTGGGTCTCAAGGTGATGGGTTTTGTACCTTCAGGGCTGGTGGTGGACCCCCAACCCGAGATTTGGCAGGTCTTGCCCGGCGTGGGACAACGGGAAGCCAGCGGTAACGGCTTCACCTCCTTGTTGACGTGGACGGGGAGGAGGAATTTGATGAGCATCAGGTCACCGTCCTTGTTGGTCTCGTTGTAGCGTGGGTATTTGAAGACTTTGACGGAGTGCCGCCACTGCTCGGTGCCGCCCGAATCCTTGTGACTTCGGCCTCCCAATCGCATGGTGATGGAGCTGAGGATGGAACCGAAAGCATCAGA